TATATAAACTCTGTGTTGTAAGAAATAAGCAGCCCAAGTGGATCTAACAGAGGATCCCTCATGAAGGATGTGGTTTGAATGAAAAACTTATGAGAACAAAGGCGATTCAAAGTTTAAATGTAGAAATGATGTGCACATATACTGAGATTTTCAAAATAAATTATGAAAAGAAGTGTATACCTTATATGGTAAGCCTTCTATTGCCTCTCAAGTTACTGAGGGTGTTGTCCAAAMATTGGGTGGAGGAACAAACAAGTTTGTTCATTCAAAGAACTTTTGTTTTAGATTTTTTACTGAAACTTCCAAATGTCCTACTTCAGAGATCAAACACTTCTTGTGAAATTAAATCTTAGAATATATTTTTATCTTGCTATTGTTTTTATATAAAAATGTTATCTTCTCCTTAGATTTTTTTGTGTATTATTGTTTTAACCGTTGTAATTATTCTGTTTACCCACCACAGTGGGTCCCCAACTTTTAGCTCCTGACTCACAAAACGATTGTTACAGAAGATTGTGACATCTATTCCTGCTTTAAATGTACAAAAACTGCAAATAAATTGGCAACATGAACAGTCTTAACGTGCACAGTGCCAGTTTGCAGTTATGATTGTTGTTCTCACTCCTTGAAACAATCAAGGTGAAAGAAATAATCGTTTTTATTGTAAATGAAGTTATCTAAGGTTTTGTAACTGATTCAGGTGACGACCTGAAGTTTGGAAACCAAATTTAGATCGATGCTGACAATTTATGCATATAATAAAAGATTTGATATTTTTTTCAAAGTTTGTATTCATCCATCACATGGTGCGTGTAATAGAAATGTTTTTGTTTGTTTTTGCTAAACTTTTTGACCTGATAATAACACAAAGTGGCTCAAAATGTTTAAGAACAATTAAATTATGCTGTAAGGAGGAAGTGAGCAGGTTTTAACCTAATAAATAGGAATAACATCCACTGAGGAGCTCAATTAGTGCTAATTGATCCAACCTCTGCAGTAAAAGTCAAACATCAGGGATTAGAAGATTTTACCCTTCAGCATCATTTCTGGGGTTTTTGTTCTCCCTCTTGTTGGGTGAGGCAGGTTGGGCAGCTGTGGGACTCTCCTCCCTCCTGTTTTTTTTTTTTTTTTCATTGCCTACTCATGAGAATTGGAAATGTTGGGTTAGGGTGGGGTGGGAGGGTGGAAGGAGACGGGGAATGTGGAAGGTGCTAAATTAGCTGGCTGATCCGCGCTCATTGCCGCATACACATCCCCCTATTACCGCGCCCCGGCGCCGCTTTAATATTCCGGGCATGGCGGGGCGCGTCTACACAGCAGATTTATCAAATGGGAAAATGAATGTATGATGATCAGTTAAATTGAAAATCAGCGCCCGGGTGACAGGGCCGCGCTGACACCTCGGTAATTAGGAAGAAAAATGATGGCGTCCGAATGCATAATAGAGCAAAAACAATTTACGCAATCCCCCCACGCCGTAATGATCGCGCGCTCAAATTGAAAATTTCTCCCCGGTTGAAATTGAATTCATAAAGTGTGATGCATGAGCGGCACGGACACGGGGGGGTCTAGACTGCACTTGATCGATTGGTCGTTTGTGTTGGTAAACACACAAACACACGCACTAGTGGATGGATGGATAAATGGGTAGATAGAGGTAACAAAATAAAAACAAACAAATAAATGTCCAATTTAACTTAAAATAAAGTTAGTTAATCTTTGACCAACTTTCTTGATAATAAAACATGTATTAAAGCCCCACACCCAATTATTAATCACCTTCACATTTTGCTTCTTTTTTGGTTCTTTTTTCACAATGGGACATAATTTGCTCCATTCACACAAAATGAAGGACTTTTTGCCTGCGAGGGTAAAGATTTAACGTTGCCCAAATTATTCTTTTTTTATTTRAAAATAAAAAAAGAAGTGCTACATTTTCTCAACTCGTGTTTTTGGTGTTATTTCTCCAAAGCACGCGCACATGCGCCTTAATACTGAAAGGAGATCAAACTCGTATTTTTTTAATTAATCGCAGTCCTGAAACTAAGCGATTATTATAAACCGACCCCCATTTAAAAAAAAGTGTGTGTGTGTGTGTGTGGGGGGGGGGGGGATAAAAAAAGAAGCAGTGAGAGAAATAAAAGTAGAAATTTCACACAGCAAGCCCGGAATGGACGATTTAATGTGATTGTTTCGGTCGAAAGGGACGTTTCCCGAGGCCTTATGGGGGAATAATGTCCTTATGAATTAAATAATAGGGTTATTACTTTCATTGATTTTAGCTGTCTGGGAATTTAGTGCTCAGCTTCGGTCTTAACCCATCTTTTCTCCCTCTCTGCCCCCTCCTCTTCTGCTCCCACCCCTTCTCATCCTCTTGTCTAATTATTATTTTCTCTCTCTCTCTCTCTCTCTCTCTCTCTCTCTCTCTCTCTCTCTCTCTCTCTCTCTCTCTCTCT